GGTCACTCCAGAATAGTGTGCCAGAAGCTGTGAGACATGACAAGGTGTTGTTGGGTGTATTTTAACCAGGCTTTTTTGTGGCATTGGCACAGTAAAGGCTTCTTTCTGGCACCTCAACCATGGGGAGGGGGGGGGAGTCAGCAGAAGTCTAATCAGTGGGGGTGAGCAGGTCAAGTTCGCAGAACAGCTAGAAAACTGACCACACAGTGCTCTCATGCCTAATCAGGTCAGTTTTTAATAGAGGGACTGGCAGAAACACTAGTTATTTCATACAAGGGAAGTAATATGATGACAGAATACTTTTTTCATACAAGAACATACTGTATATATGTTTTTCTTTGCTTGTATTCTGGTTACCCAGGACTAGTTAAAGTTGAACCCAAGGCAAACCACTAGATTCACCTTTGTAATACATATGTAGGAACTGTTCTACCTGCTAATCCAGTCTTCAGATTTACACAGCCCTGCCAGACAGCAGAGCCAAGCTAGTTACATGATTTTTCTCAAGGAAGGAAGGAAGGGGAGAGCGCCTACTGAGTGTAATATAAGGACATATTTATTAGTTAAAAACAATTGGCAACTCAAAAGAAAAAAAAAAGACTCCCTCTGTCATCCCAGTCCTGTGCCTGTCTCTCTGTGAGCAGTGTCTGTCCAGTGTGTGCAGATATTAGCATGTTCCTTATTAGCATAGAGCATGCTGCACCCCTATTTCGCTCTTTCTGCTGCCCCTTCCTCATCACATCCAAGCCCATCTGCCTGGGGATATCAAGATGCTCATACCATGCCCAATTCAGGGATTTACATCCTTTTTTGTCCCCGAAGAACCCTTGAAGTAATTTTCAGGTTCTGGAACCACTGCTAACATCAATTCAGTGTGTAGGATGCCTCTTACCTTGGTGGCCAATGGGCACAATGCCCCCCGTACAGTGGTGATCAGACTGCCACTCTAACAGACAGCTAAAAGGACTATCAGTGTCCTGCAGCTGGCTCTGCCAAGTGGTGTTGGCCAAGAACATCAGTGAAACCCAATGTGATCTATACATACAAAGAAACAAAAACAAATAAGTTCAGAAATTAAGTTATGTGTAGTAAAATGGAATGACACAGGGCAAAAGTGTTGAACACGCTAACTGAAATTTATTTAATACTTCGTACAAAATCCCTTGTTGATAATGAAAACTTTAAGATGACTCCTTTGAGATCATTGTCTTGCTGAAACGTCCACCCTCATTTCATCTTCATCATCCTGGTAGATGGCAGCAGATTTTTATCAATAATGTCTTGATACATTTTTCCATTCATCCTTCCTTCAATGACATGAAGTTTGCCAGTAAAGTATGCTGAAAAACAGCCCCACACCATGATGCTCCCACCTACAAACTTAACTGTTGATATGGTGTTTTTGGGGTGATGTGCAGTGCCATTTGACCTACAAACATGGTGTGTATTATGGCATCTAAAGAGTTCAATTTTGGTCTCATCTGACCAGACTATATTCTCCCAGTATTTCAAGGCCTGTGTAAATGTTGTGCAGCAAACTTTAAACAAGCTTCAACATGCTTTTTTTTCAACAATGGAGTCTTGAGTGGTCAGTGTGCATACAGGCCATGGCGGTTATTGTTTTCTTTATAACAATTGTACCTGCTAATTCCAGGTTTTTCAGAAGCTCTTCACAAGTGGTCCTTGGCTCTTGGACAACTCTTCTGATAAATATTTTTATTCCTCTGTCGGAAATCTTGCAAGTTTATGGTGAAATGATGTTCTTTCAACTTTCGGATTATGGCCCCAACAGTGCTCAATGGAACATTCAGAAATCCTTCTGTAACCAATGCCATAAGTATGTTTTGCAACAATAAGGTTGTGAAGAGCTTGAGAGAGCTCTGCGACAGGTTGGTAATGAAAGTGTACAATTCAAACGCACACGTTCCTGTGTTAAAAATTACTGTGTGTATAAGTTTGGTGCTGCAGCAACCGTCGGCTGGAACCGAACAGAATCAGCAAGGGAGAAAGTCACCAGCAAAGGATCACCTATATGGGTCCAAACATTTTAATGAACGATCACAAAGTTACAGCAAGGCAACGTTTTGGAGTCTTGCAGAAACCCCTTCATCAGGCATGTGACCATACCATGACCTTGGTAATGAGACACCTTTTTATAAGGGGCAGGATTGCTTTCTAATTACTGATAGATTTCAGTTGGTGTCTTGGCTTTCCATTCCTTTTTGCACCTCCCTTTCTTCATGTGTTCAATACTTTTTCCCGTGTCATTCCATTTTATTACACATAACTTAATTTCTGAACTTTTGTCTTGGTTTCTTTGTATGTATGGATTGCATGAATTGTTACTGACAAGTGGTGAAAATTTCATGTCAATAGCACCTTTAGAAATATCTTTACTGAGAAAAATGGTGACATGTTCAATGCTTATTTTACCTTCTGCGTATATATGATAAATGCACATTTTCTTCTTATGGATTGCCTTTATTACCAAAAATTGCCAAACCTTAGTGAAAAAAAGCTATATTTCCTGATGCAATTTGTTAAACTGAACAATGTGAGGGCCTGGAAACTTCATGGTTAAATTTCTCACTATCATGAGGTGAGGCACAGATTGGATGGATTAATGATTAATAAGAAACTTTGGCGTAGATCAACACCAACAGTAGAATTCTACAGATTTGGTTTCTGGCCATATTATCCTCATGTGAACTTCAGAACTTTAGTTTTAATTTGGACAGTTTGTATAGGGGCTTGTTTGGGTCACTGCCTTACCCTCTTTTATTCCCCCTGTACTTCCTTTTCCTTCTTTCCCTCTATTGTTCTTTGCACTGTCGCCTACAGAATTTTGTATTTAAATTTCATCTAACACATTAAACTATTCAATGTTTTCAGATCTCCAAGCTTACAGTAATACTTGGCTTTTGGCATTATGAGATATAATGAGTAATTTCTAGAATACCGATATCCTGTTTACTGTACAAATACCAGTAGTTATAAAAGTAACTCAGCAATTTAATGATTCAGCCACGTCCATTCTTTGTATATACAGTTGTGCTCAAAAGTTTACATACCCTTGGAGAATTGGTAATATACAGTATGTACTATTTTTAAAGAAAACATGAGTGAGCAGGCAAAACACATTTATTTCTTATTGGATTTATATTTAACTATAGGTCATAACATAATGACACAATTATAAACCAAAACATGGCAACAAGTGAACAAATTAAATGACCCCTGTTCAAAAGTCTACATACCCTTAGTTCTTAATACTGTGTATTGCCCCCTTTAGCATCAATAACAGCGTGAGGTCTTTTGTATAAGTTGTCTATGAGGCCCTGAATTCTTGTAGGTGGTATAGCTGCCCATTCATCTTGGCAAAATGCCTCCAGGTCATGCAAAATCTTTGGTCATCTTGCATAAACCCCAGGTTTGAGATCGCCCCAGAGTGGCTCGATGATATTAAGGTCAGAAGACTGATGGCCTCTTCAGAAGCTTCCTCTTTTCTGCTGTATCTACTAGAGAGCCAACTTGGCCTTGTGCTTGGGGTCACTGTCATGCTGGAAGGTCCAAGGGCATTCCATGCGCAGCTTTCATGCAGAATAATGCAAATCGTCTGCCAGTATTTTCTGATAACGTGTAGCATTCATCTTCCCATCAGTTTTCACAGGATTCATTGTGCCTTTAGATCTCACACACCCCAAACCATCAGTGAGCCACCACCATGCTTCACAGTGGGGATGGTCTTCTTATTGCTATAGGCCTTGTTGACCCCCTCCAAACATAGCGCTTATGGTTGTTACCATAAAGCTCTCTTTTGGTCTGGTCACTCCAGAATAGTGTGCCAGAAGCTGTGAGACATGACAAGGTGTTGTTGGGTGTATTTTAACCAGGCTTTTTGTGGCATTGGCACAGTAAAGGCTTCTTTCTGGCACCTCAACCATGGGGAGGGGGGGGGAGTCAGCAGAAGTCTAATCAGTGGGGGTGAGCAGGTTCGAGTTCGCAGAACAGCTAGAAAACTGACCACACAGTGCTCTCATGCCTAATCAGGTCAGTTTTTAATAGAGGGACTGGCAGAAACACTAGTTATTTCATACAAGGGAAGTAATATGATGACAGAATACTTTTTCATACAAGAACATACTGTATATATGTTTTTCTTTGCTTGTATTCTGGTTACCCAGGACTAGTTAAAGTTGAACCCAAGGCAAACCACTAGATTCACCTTTGTAATACATATGTAGGAACTGTTCTACCTGCTAATCCAGTCTTCAGATTTACACAGCCCTGCCAGACAGCAGAGCCAAGCTAGTTACATGATTTTTCTCAAGGAAGGAAGGAAGGGGAGAGCGCCTACTGAGTGTAATATAAGGACATATTTATTAGTTAAAAACAATTGGCAACTCAAAAGAAAAAAAAAAGACTCCCTCTGTCATCCCAGTCCTGTGCCTGTCTCTCTGTGAGCAGTGTCTGTCCAGTGTGTGCAGATATTAGCATGTTCCTTATTAGCATAGAGCATGCTGCACCCCTATTTCGCTCTTTCTGCTGCCCCTTCCTCATCACATCCAAGCCCATCTGCCTGGGGATATCAAGATGCTCATACCATGCCCAATTCAGGGATTTACATCCTTTTTTGTCCCCGAAGAACCCTTGAAGTAATTTTCAGGTTCTGGAACCACTGCTAACATCAATTCAGTGTGTAGGATGCCTCTTACCTTGGTGGCCAATGGGCACAATGCCCCCCGTACAGTGGTGATCAGACTGCCACTCTAACAGACAGCTAAAAGGACTATCAGTGTCCTGCAGCTGGCTCTGCCAAGTGGTGTTGGCCAAGAACTACTCAGGAATGATCAGGTGGGAAGTCGATCAGCCACAGCTCTAGGAACCACTAACAACCCCTGGAGGAACCCTGGTTGAGAATGACTGCTCTGATAAATTATGCATTTTATATTCATATCTCTTATTTCTGGTATACAGAAACATCCACACACTTCACTCACCTGGGAGTGCTCTGGCCTCGGGAGGTAGAAGTTTTTCATATGTATTATAAATTCCAGCATCAGAAATGATAATAGGAGCAAAAATATTCACTGGATCCATGCCCTTTCCTCTGACAGAGACACCTGCAATGGATGACAGCAGTTATGATTTGTGAAACTTGTAATTGGCATATCTAAACTTGGAAACAAAAATTGTTGCAGCATACTAGTCCTTTGATGTGGTGGCTGCAATTGTTTTCTTTTCACCTGATTCTGCCAGTAATACCCTAGAGCAGCAAACACTTACACACTGTGCTGTATTTATAGAAGAGCAGTGTTGTCGCCCTAGGGCAAGAGTGTATTAGGACTACATAACACTTTTCATACCCTCTCCTCATCTTCATAATATAGGAGGGAGGTATTCTGTAACCCACAGAGGTGATCGCTTTAAAAGGCAAACTCCACTTTTGTAGGGAAAAAATATAGCAAATAAAACAAAAATACTACAACATATAGAATTGCAACACAAACCATATTGTTTTTTAAAAATGACCTTTTCCTTTTCAATCTGCAGCGCTGTAATTTTCTGTAAAATTCAATGTAATATGGCAACCTGGAGGCACTCTGTACACAACTGGTGTAGAGAACGCCTCCAGAAATGTTGTTTAAGTTTGTGCGATTGGCTGACTGATTTTCTCAGAAGTCTGCACCACAATAAAAATCAGATTTTAGGCATCCTTTCATTTTAGGTGTGATGCTCCTAAAGGGTTAAACACTTCTAAAGGGATGCAGACCCTGCAACTTTATTTATTAGAGCACTGTAAGTGCATCAGCTGATTAATAATGAAGAAGTCACTTTCATTCAGAATCAGTATCCGAAAGACATAGAACAAGCTGCTTATTCTTCGGAGCAGAAACATATAGGAATCTGCAAAAAAGTTTCTTCAAATCCTTGTAATGTACATTGACCACCCAAAGAAGATTGTCTTTAACCGCTTGCTGACCACAGATAGCCGAATGACGGCTTAATTGTGGCCGGCCAGTTCTGGGAGGGCGTCCTATGACGTCCTCCCAGAACACGCCCTCCCGCGCACCCCCAGGGGCGCGAACCTGGTGATCTCCATGATCGCTGCGCCCTACGGACACAGCTGATCATGTGACGTGGTAAAAGGCCAATCACAGAGGCTTTTTACCATGTGATAAGCCGTGTCCAATGATACAGCAGATCACCGGGTAAATGCAGTTGCCGGTTATCGGCTTCACTTTCCTCGTGCTGTCACCGCGTGAGGAAAGTACTGCCGATAACCGGCAATTGTCAAAGGATGGATCTGCACCGATCATCTGGGGACTGATGATCAGTGCCCAGCAGTGCCACCCACCAGTGCCGCCCACAAGTGCCCAGCAGTGCCACCTACCTGTGCCCAGCAGTGCCACCCACCTGTGCCCAGCAGTGCCTAGTAGTGCCACCCACCTGAGCCCAGCAGTGCCACCCTCAAGTGCCACCAACAAGTGCCGCCCATCAGTACCACCCATCAGTGCCCATCATTGTTGCATATCAGTGCAGCATCATCAGTGCCAGCTCATCAGTGCCACCTACACTGTTCAACAGGTAAAAAGTTTTGGGCATAAAATTAGCTAATCTTACATAATTTTGGGGTGCTGAAAACGAAAATGACCCTAAAAAATGTTGATTGGCTCTAGTTTCCATGATATATTCACCCATCTAATGACGTAAGCCATTCAAAATTATGATGCAACTTCAGCTGCATATTGCGCAATTGATACTGGTGACCAATAGAAAATTGCATGTATACTGAGATGATGCAATATTAGCCTTTAATTGCATCACTTCACTGCATAAAAGCTGCAGTATCTGTAGCTGATTGGAGTTCGTCTTTACATTTCGTTTTATGCTTATATAGGCTACTCAGTAATGCCTCGAACTTGTGTGAATAAAGCAGATAATTTCTGCTATATCTGCGGTGAAATAACTTTTATCTCACAAAAAAGGAGGATAACAGGAATGATTAAGAAAGCCTACAACTTGTATTTTGGCTCAAGATAGGAGACCAGGACAAGAGCTGGGCACCACATATATGCTGCAATTCTTGTGGGACGGCACTGGAGCAATGGTTGAATGGAAAAAAGGCATCTATGCCTTTCGCTGTGCCAATGATTTGGAGAGAGCCAACAGATCATGTTAGTAATTGTTACTTTTGTATGGTGCCTCCAATTGTAAAAGGGCTAAATAAGAAGAAAACGTTATCTGTGCACTATCCAAATATTCCATCGGCAATACGTCCAGTTCCTCATGGAGAGGGGCTACCAATTCCTAAAGCACCAGAATCCTTCGTGGTTGAGTCAAGTGAGGAAGAACCTGAAGCGTGTAGTCACGTGCAGTTGTAAGAGATAGCCCTTTCCTCGAATACAAGAGAAAAGCCAAGAGAAGCAAAACCGACACAAACTGAAGACAAAACTAGTGAGAATCCTAAGTATTAAAATGATTCAACTTAGCTTATGGCTATAATTTTTCTTGGTAATCCTATGCAATATATTATGCCATTTAGGCTTTGTTATGTAGTCAATATCACTTGCTTTATATTTGTGGAAAGACATCTATCTATATAATTATTGTGCATTATGTAGTCATTACGCCTATAGTAGAAAACTTTCCGTTTACAGAAAAACTAGAGCCAATTGACAAATTTCATTGTTATATTTGAACTCAGAATGTGAAATTCATTAAGAACTGGATCATTTTGTTTCCAAAACTGGCAAAAAATAAAAATTTGTTGAACAGTGCTATTAGTGCTGCCTATCAGTGCCCATCAGTGCTGCCTATCAACGCACATCAGTGAAGGAGAAAAATTACCTGTATGCTAAATTTTATAATAGAAACAAAGCAAAATGGGTTTTTTTCAACATTTTTGCTCTTTTTTTGTTTATAGCGCAAAAAATAAAACACCCAGCGGTGAGTACATACCAAAAGAAAGCTCTATTTGTTTGAAAGAAATGATAAAAATTTCATATGGGTGCAGTGTTGCATGACCACGCAATTGTCATTCAAAGTGCGACAGCACTGAAAGCTGAAAATTGGCCTGGACAGGAAGGGGGCATAAGTGCCCGGTAGGAAAGTGGTTAAAGCGCAACTACAGGTTATAGACCTCCATGATTAAGCTCCATGGGCGGGGTGAACCGCTTGGGGGCATGGCTATGGATGAAGATGCCTGAGGTTGCTTTCACTGGTTTAGTAATGGCTTTGCTATGTGTTTGGGACCTTTCTCTATGCATATCCACAGTAGATATGCAGATAGAGGAGTGTAGATGGACTCCTGCCCAGCCAGCACCCATTGCAGGAATCACCATGTAGACTTACAGGGGCTTTAGCGGAGACCTTACATTTTATGATGTTCCAGGTTTTAGTTAACTTTAGCTGGTCCAAACAAACTATTTACTTCACTAACTGATGCACCAGCTGTGCGTGTGTATGTATATAAACTGTATGGAGCCTAAGCTACATAGAGTATGCAGCACTGTGTTCCAGCAACGGGATGGGAAATGCCCGGCCTGGTTCCAGGAACAAAATCCACATGAACAGCCATTCACAGAAAGCTTTGTCTTTTATGAATCAATACAAAGCTTCCTCTCTTTGGGTGAGGAGAAGATTATGAAGTCATCCACCCATCTCTCCACCTCAGCCATTTAGAAGAATCCTTGTATTCATTCAGAAAATACAAAAGGTTCCTGTGAATGGCTGAACAGTGCTCAACCCAACTCTGTTTTGTCCTGGGAGCGGGATAGGAAGTCCTCATCCCGCTGCTGGAATACAGCGCTGTATATTGTATGTATCTGAAGCCACATACATGTAGCACAGACCCCAGACTGGGCTGGCTATTTAATCCCAGGTTATATTCTCTGATAGGCACACGGTAGCCAGGCACATGGTAGTTTACAGTCACTCAAGTCAGGAAACAGGCTGTGCTTGCCTTTTTGCACTTTATTTGCTGACCAAAAACTTGGATGGAGTGAGGATGAGCCTTGAGATGCTCCCAAAACATCTAACAAAACTGTATTGGAGGACTCTAAATCTGACTGGCTCCTTTAGGGTGAGAACCACCCTCTTGGATGTGAAGGTATCTAGATTCCAAACAGGAACTCCTCAAGAAGAGTATAATCCTGGATGTACTGCTGAAAGCGCTCCCAAATGGGCTAAGAAAGCCTCTGGAATCCACATGGCAGGTACTCACCGTGCCCTGTATTGCTACCTTCAGTAGCATTCAACTTCTGTACTTGTTGCCTGTGTCCTGCATCCTTAAATAAGCTTTCTACATGCTTTCAGGAGGCTAGGTCAGAGGTCCCCCAGCCCAAGTCGGAGCTGGAACCCCAGAAGGATTTCTTTGGTGGTGCAGGTAGTCTTCCAGGGATGCCTCCGCCCTCAGACTGAGTCTTACTCCCCAGAAATAAGAGAAAGGTGTTCCAGGCCTCAGCCTATTTATACCCATCTCAGCTCCCTACTGGTGACTCACTTTCCTGACCAGGGATTGGCTGAAGAGGCATGAATAAGTAGGCCAGGGTCAAAGCTCTTCTGCCCACTATATTCCAGAGTTCAGAGGAATGCGGGGGAAAGTAGCTGAGCTTGCACCAGCAGAACCAAAACAGAGACTAACAAATGATCACTGCAGAACCAAAAACTAAATTTACCTAACACTAGTAGCCTACTAAGGGGCACTACATACAACACCAGCCTCTTTATAAGGTACACCTTGCTAGTGCCAGGTTGGACCCCCCCCCCCCCCCCCCCCCTTTGCCTTCAGAACTGCCTTAATGCTTTGTGGCATAGATTCAAGGTGTTGGAAACATTCCTCAGAGATTTTGGTCCATATTGGCATGAGTTACTGTTCCTTTTCTAATCATCACGAACCAGTCTGCCCATTCTCCTCTGACATAAGGCATTTTTGTCCACACAACTGCCACTCACTGGATATTCACTCTTTCTCGGACCATTCTCTGTAAACTCTAGAGATGGTTGTGCAGAAAAATCATAGTAGATCAGCAGTTTTTTTAAATACTCAGACCAGCCCATCTGGCAAAAACAAGCATGCCATGCTCAAAGTCACTTAAATCCCCTTTGTTCCCCAATCTGATGCTCTATTTGAACTTCAGCAAGTTGTCTTCACCGCCTTCAGATGCCTAAATACATCGAGTTGCTGCCATGTGATTGACTGATTAGCAATTTGTGTTACCAAGCAATTGAACAAATGTACCTAGCAAAGCGGCTGGTGAGTGCAGTTTCTACAGAACACCTAGTAGTGAAAATAATATTTTGTTTGGACCAGCTTGGCTCAAAATAAACTATAATGTCACTAAAATTAAATAATTTCATTAAATTTAAAACTTCACTAAAATCTGGCATTAGGCTTTAAGATTTCAGTACTACATTGTCAGCTCATCTCAGGAAGTTAGGCACACATTGGATTTCTGACAAGATCAATTAGTATTTTTCCATACTTGCAGTGTTTTTAAAGAGACAAAACATGGGAAATGTATGTATAGAAGAGATACAGTGTCTTTTAGTAGTAGTCGCATTCAGCTGTACCTGTGTTGAAGAAGTTTTGTAGCTTATCCAATATACCTCTTCAGTTCTTAGTTCCATTCAACTGAAATTATTCTGTAATGTTCTAATTACTACTAAATATCCCATTGCTTGGATACACGAGAATCTTCATAGATTTATAGGAGAAATGGGTTTCTGTTATTTTTTTGTATACATAGATTTTAACACCTCAATGACAAAGCACACTGGGTGCTCTGTGCAGAGAAAGTGCTGCCAAGAGACTACAGGAGAATGAAACTTCCGAAGGGCTCACCATACAAAGCCCCAGGGCTGGCAGACGTGACATGATTAGATGTTCATCAGCAATTCAGACAGGTAAATTCGTGAGAAAAGAACACATCATGTAGACATAATCATGGGTATTAAATAACACATTCCATAACCCAGATCAACCATTTAGAATTCTTCCTACTCTGATCTAACTTCAGTAAAAAGGAGTTGGGATGGGCTGCTGCTGGTTACTGCACTTTTGCACTGCTTTATGGAAAAAAGATTGTGACGAGAGTCACTTTGGGTGAGGGGCCCATGGAATCCATCTCACTTTGGAGATGTGGGGAGACCCCTGTCTCAGCTCCCCATATCCCTCTTATGTGTAAATCACCCTGTGCCTGTTAGGGGTACAGGGTGATCTGGCCTAATATTGTGTGGGTTTTGTCTCAGACTGTGTAGACATGTTTAGGAGATAGGTGAGGTGGGGGTTGTGGATTGTTTAATGTTATGTGTATTAGCTTAGTAGGGGGGGTGTCTCCAGCAGCCCTCCCTCCTGATGGGACTGTCTGCTGGTGTGATGTTTGAATACCTGTGTGTCTCTTGTTACTAAATGTAGATTGCCCTGCCCTGTGTCATTATGCAGGGAGGGGGGGTGGTTGTCCCCTAAGTGCATATATCTTGTATCTGTGTTCAAATAAACTAGTCTACTCTGGTTTACTTCAAGACTGGTGTCGTCTGGTCTTGTATGGTCTGCTGTGGTGTCTGTTGTCCGTGTTCGGACAGGGAAGCAGTAGTCTGACGGAAGTACCCAAGCGCAGTCTGGGGTCGGTTCCGTTACATTGCGACTCCCGTCACAAAGATGTATGCCTTTTCTGCCTGTAGACTTTTTTTTTAAATACTGCAAGAACTCTGCTAAGAAAAACAGCCTTACATGCAATTAATACCACTGAAAAAGTTTCTTGTTTCACCTCCCCATCTTAGAGTACTGAATCTAATGTATTGGACATTGCTGCAGGACAATAGGATAGTGTCTATTATAGGAAGCCTGCACTGCAGAAGTAAAGAGGTGGCCATTGCTGAACTCTTTAGTAGCTTCTGTACATCCCATGTAACCAACTTAGATTTTATATGCAAATCTGGAGCTCGGACTTCACCCCAGTTTTTCTGACCAGCATCTCAGAAAGCACTAAAATCAAAAGGGAGCCAAGCAATTAGCTTTTCCAAAACTAGGTCTCTTCCTGATGTACCTTGGGAACAGGAAATTGGGTAAATCTTCCTAAGGACACTTTTCACAAGGCACTGGTCTTTGAGCGCTGACGCGCCTTGTCGTTGCGTTAGCAGCCCATTAAAAAGTTAATGAGCCCAAATAATGGAGCTCAATACAATGCAAAGGATGTTCTGCATTGTGCTGCTGCTGCTCTGTATTATTTTATAATGTGTGTTGGCTGGTGGGAATGAGCCCTAAGGCAGGCCAGAGATTATGCTCTTTTTTTTTTTCTTTCAACCAAAAAAACATTATTTGACTTCCCCAGTGTTGATGGTGGAATCCCACCCATAGAGCTTTTGTATTCTGATAATGGGGAGAATTCCCTGCCATCAGAGTACAATGATTAACCACTTGCCCTCCAGAGGATTTACCCCCCTTCCTGATCAGGCCACTTTTTGCAATACGGCACTGCGTTATTTTAACTGACAATTGCAGCTCATGCAACGCTGCACCCAAATTAAATTTGTGTCCTTTTTTTCCCCACAAACGGAGATTTCTATCGGTGTTATATGATCGCCTCTGCGGTTTCTATTTTGTGTGCTATAAACAAAAAAAGACTGACAATTTTGAAAAAACAAAACAATATTTTTGACTTTTTGTTATAAAACATATCCAGTAACAAAAATTTAAAAAAATCAAACTTAGTCATAAATTTAGGACTAAATGTATTCTGCGACATGTCTTTCCTAAACAATAATCCCGATACATGTAAATTAATTGGTTTATGTGAAAGTTATAGCGTCTACAAATGGCAGTATATATACACTAGAATTTTTTTATTTTTTTTTAATACTAGTAATGGCGGCAAACAGCGACTTATAGCGGGACTGCGGAGGGCATTCTAAAACTGGGGGGGGAACTGACCAACTGTCACTGACATCCCCAGTGACACTAATACAGTGATCACTGCTCAAAAAAAGTACTGACACTGTACTAATGACACTGGGCAGGAAGGGGTTAACATCTGGGGCAATCAAATGGGTTAACTGTGTGCGTTTTACTGTGTGATGTGCTTTACTATGTAAGCATGCTGCTTTGTATTGCTCTGCTGTGCAGAGCAATACAAAGCAGCATGCTGGAGCTGATAGGAGAGAGATCTGTTAAAGATGACAGTTACAAAATTAAAACATGACAGGGGTTCCAGCATTTACCCAAGGTTCTTAAAACGTAAACAAACTAGCTGCAAATCTGCATAAAATTAATTACCCATAAAAGAGAAATGCTTTGATGTTATGGTGACCATACACTTTGATTATATTATCCAATTGATCTGCAATTTGATCAAACACAAAAGAAAACAAAAAAAACAAAAAAAAAAAAATGGCAAACAATCGGATAGGCATATAAATGATCGATCATGTTGCATCGCTTGGCAACACTGCTATGGTTTGTTTATGAATTAGATTGCATTTCGACCAGATTATGGGATTGCATGGCAAAAAAGAGATGCAATTGATAACTTAATGATGATATCTTCCAACTACTACTGATTGAAATCTCTTTTCCCGTGTGTTGTATCAAATGGGTTGTCAACTATAGATTGCTTGAAAAAGAAATCCGATCATTTAACAAATCATGCATGGCCCACCACCACACATGTATTCTTATCATACTTACCACATGCTCTTCCGTCTCCATTGAGCAGAATCTTCTCCACTGTTGCTCTTGAGAGCACAGCACCCCCAGCCTTTGCAATTGTTGGAGCGAGGTGGTATGTGATTTCACTGGCACCTCCAGTTGGGTACCAAGCTCCACGCATGAAGTGGTCAATCAATACAGAGTGTAGAGCAAAACTGGCTTTATCTGGGAAAACACCTGCAAAAAAAAAAGAGAAGAGGAAAAAAGTTACTATAACCAAATTACTTCATTTTTAAATTTCTTTATTTAAATAGAGAAATAGAGATCCTAATAATATTCAGAATATCATCACATTTTTTTTTTTTAAGATAAAAGCTAAAACTATTTTGAGATTTTAGATGGAAAGGGGAAGGAATAGAACCTCTCATGTTTTCATTGGTATCTATGTCCCCGCTGGAGAGACATCCTTTTGGTTCATCCTAGTGACCATTGTCACAGAGATAGAAAGTGATGCGAAATCCAAACAAACAGGGAGGGAAAACCACTTGATCCAGTGACCGCTGTATAAAAGAGTGCATCTCCCTAATCTTGGAGATATTTTTCTCTCACTTCCTGTTGTATGTTTGGACAGGAAATGCAAAGAAATCTCTCCAAAAGGGACATGAAATCTAAACAATGCACATAACTCTATAGTGTTTACTTGCCTATCTACAAAGCACTAAAGCCAGCAAATGATGGATCGAATCTTTGCTGGTTCAGCAGGGACCGGCTGAGATCCAATCAATCTATGGTTAGGCCGTTTGTACTACAGTTGATCCATAAATCGACTTCAGTACAGCCAGACTGCGCATATTTTTCATACGATCACTGCCAGAGGCTATAGGCTGCAGGGGAGACTCCTTGGCAATAGTGCTGCAGGAGGGATTCTCCCATCAACATAGTCAGTCAGTGAAGTCAAGCAATTTTCTCTCCTGCAACCCATGGTGGAAGAAGAGTAAAATTGTAAAATGTACGACCTATTTAAGTGTCATATCTCTCTTCTGCCTCGTTTCTCTATCTGCATTAGTCACTTCTGACAAATTTCCCTGACACCAAGAGCTAAAAAGGTGACAGGGGACAGATCTCCAGCACACAGCCTGTGATTGACAGCCTCAGATCTGTTCCTGTGTGCAGGGGGGTGTGCACCTTATCTCCAATCAGAACTCTTGTACGCTGTGTAACTGCAGCTCCCCACCCCCCCTGCATTGTGAGTCTGTGAAAAATCATTTTCATCTCTTGATTTTTACAAGGATGTACTGCACTAATGTATACAGATACAGGTACAACTTACGTAGAGGATTTGTTGTAACTCTGTATCAACTGAGGCCAGTCACTTCACTGAGTATACTGTACGTAAGGGTTTACAACCACTTGAGCCTGGGTTCACACTGATACAGTGCAGAATTCACACTGGTTTCTGTGCGAATTCCACACCGCATCACAATCGCATCCCATTCATGCGAACCGCTGTGGGTGTGTATGTTATGTTAACAACGCCCCGAAATCGGTCCGCAAAACTCGGTGAGATGTGCAAAATCGGATCACATGGGGAATCATTGACTGGGACCCGGTGATTGACAGCAGCGAATCATGGCGCAGGTAGGGCGCGTGCGCACCCCCTACCCAGAAATACAAAATCACGTGTATATACGTGATTTTTCACACCCCTGTAGCAGTATATCTGCTATAGTGCAGTTGGGAAGTGATTAAGGATGAACTCTGGGATGGTGTTAAAATCTGCACAACAGCCATGTGTAGATGGTTAAGTAAAACTGTTAATGTGATTTTATAAAAAAGTGTGCATTTTATATATGTATCATTACCCCTTAGGATTCATCGAAAATTTGGGTCCCCCTACAGTCCTGCACAGCCAGGCATTGCACATCTATACCAAGATTTGCACCAGGAGACAGAAAACCAGTCCTTGAGCTTTATTTTGAAGTTTTATTAAGGATGTAGAACTTGGATGAGGTAAGGGGTATATGGGATGCCCAAGGGAGGACAAACATCCTGAACTATATTACAAGTCTTTATGCACACAAAAATCCTCTTCTGGAGAGCTAGACAGCATCTCCCAATGTACCTCTACAACCCCAGATACTCCTCAATTCGGCTGTATGGAAGAATCCCTGGACAGGTGATCCAGTAGTAACTACTAGAGGGCAATAGACCCTGCTGCAGCGTGAGTTATGTTTCCCACCAAAATGCTCTCTCCCCAATCTGGCCCAGGGGGTGTAGGTGTACTCACTGAATCCTTCTCCTGTGCTGCTGTTGGGTAGGTGGCTGCTACCAAGCCTATCAGCTAGGCCACTCCTTCTCTGCCGCTTCTCTTCTTTTGGCTAAGATCAAGTGTAGTATCTGTTCTTATCAGTGTCCAGTGGGGGTGCTCCCGGCCATTCTGGCTTTGCGGGGATCGCTGTTGTATAGTACCCTCACTGGTATGATGGGGGTCCGGAAGGCTAGTACCGGAGGGACAGAAACCAGGGAGCGCCATGATTCGTTCTGGGGCCTTGGGAGTAATTCCTCTGGGAAGACTGGAAAGACCCAGTACCTCCTGATTTGGATGGATCTACCTTGGTCTGGCCAGGGGCTGGGGACGCAAAAAGTCTGCAAACTCAGTGCCCCCTGGGGAAGACGCTCTCAGGGGTGTCACTAGTAACACTTGGGTGTGGGACCCCACGGTGTGAAGATGACACATGGCCACTGTTTTTCACCTCTTTTTGCACAGCGCCCTAAGGACCAGGTCTTTTGGCTAAGTCCAGGGCAATTTTTGCTACGGGCCTCAGGGCCTGGTCTGTGCACAATTTGGCACGGTACCACTTTTTTATTTTCTATTTATTTAATTTATTTCACTCCCACGTTTGTCACTTTTTGCTTTACTTATGTGTGTGTTTTTCACGGATGGAGGGTGTGGGTCCTCGGGCCTACCCTGAAGTCTAGGGGGAGGATGTGTGGCCTTTTGGTTCCTTGCTCCCCTGATCCCTAGGGGGCTTTCTCTTTGGGAGAGCCCCCTGGCCTAGTACTGGATGTCCGGCTTCGGCTGGACATAAGGAACGGTGGTCCACCAGGCCTTTTGGCTAGGAGGACCAAATGGGAACCTTGTCCCTGTCAGGAGCTTCGTGCCCCGGGGGATCAGGGTAACGGTTCAACCCCTCCGGGGGTAGGACAAACACACCCCTAAGTGCACTTTTTCGTGTGGTGTTTGCACTTGCACATTTTTTGTGATCACTTACGGTTTTTTCGTTGTAGTTTGCACGTTTGCGGACTTAAAAACTCCTTCTCTGCCGCTAGGAGGTCCTCTCTCAGGGGACCAGTGAAGTCCACAGGTTTCTACCTTTCAAGGTTCCTCCGCCTGGAAGTGAGCCCCTTCCAACCTGGGCTCCCTCTCAGGCTCCTGCATCTCAATCTCAATTCATCTTCCACCAGCACCCTCCTGCTACTGAGCAGGCTCTCTTACTTTTAGGGTTGTCCTGGCCCCTTTCCAAACTCCTGTTGGGGATTGGCCAGGTTCCCTCAAGAGTACAGGCCAACCACTCCTCAGATCCACCCATTGCCATTAGGCCTTCCTCCAAAGCTCTAGAACAGGGGGGAAATTCCAGAGGGGCTGGCCTGCAGAGCCTCTCAGCCCTGACCACAATTTGACACCTGGGCTGCTGCTCAGCCCCTATCTAACCACTGAAATCAAGGTCCCCCTAGCTACCTAGGAGGGCGCTACATATATAAATCTCACATTTTAAAAATCTGTTACATCATTTCTTACACTGCTTCTTCTTCAATCTCAATGAGTAGGTATCTCAGCAATGGCAATGTCACTTCCTGTTAGTGTTTGTCAATGTTCTGAGACTACAAATCCCATCATGACCTAGGATTTAGAGGTTTATGAGGATAGGACCTTGGGGTGTGTGTGTGAACGGAGGATCAGTAGTGTTGTACTCATAGGACTGACACCGCTCACCTACAGTGCCTTGAAAAAGTATTCATACCCCTTGCCATTTTCCACATTTTGTCATGTTACAACCAAAAACGTAAATGTATTTTATTGGGATTTTATGTGATAGACCAACACAAAGTGGCACATAATTGTGAAGTGGAAGGAAAATGAGAAATGGTTTTAAAAATTGTTTTACAAATAAATATCTGAAAAGTGTGGCGTGCATTTGTATTCAGCCCCCCTGAGGCAATACTTTGTAGAACCATCTTTCCCTGCAATTACAGCTGCAAGTCTTTTTGGGTATGTCTCTACCAGCTTTGCACATCTAAAGAGTAAAGGTTTTGTCCATTCATCTTTGTAAAATAGTTCAAGCTCTATCAGATTGGATGGAGAGCATCTGGACAGCAATTCTTGCAATTCTTAAATTCAAGTCTTGCCAAAGATTCTCAATTGGATTTAGGTCTGGACTTTGACTGGGCCATTCTAACACATGAATATGCTTCAATCTAAACCATTCCATTGTAGCTCTGGAAGGTGAACCTCCACTCCAGTCTCAAGTCTTTGGCAGACTCTAACAGGTTTTCTTCTAAGATTGCCCTGTATTTGGCTCCATCCATCTTCCCATCAACTCTGACCAGCTTCCCTGTCTCTGTTGAAGAAAAGCATCCCCACAACATGATTCTGCCACCACGTTTCACGGTGAGGATGGTGTGTTCAGGGTGATGTGCAGTATTAGTTTTCCACCATACATAGCATTGTTTTCAGGCAAAAATGTTCAATTTTGGTCTCATCTGACCAGAGCACCTTCTTCCACATGTTTGCTGTGTCCCCCACATGGCTTCTCACAAACTGCAAACAGGACTTCTTATGGCTTTCTTTCAACAATGGCTTTCTTCTTGACACTCTTCCATAAAGGTCAGATTTGTGGAGTGCATGACTACTAGTTGTCCTGTGGACAGATTCTCCCACCTGAGCTGTGGATCTCTGCAGCTCCTCCAGAGTTACCATGAGCCTCTTTGCTGCTTCTCTGATTAATGCTCTCCTTGCCCGGCCTGTCAGTTTAGGTGGACGGCCATGTCTTAGTAGATTTGCAGTTGTGTCATACTCTTTCCATTTTCGGATGATAGATTGAACAGTTCTCTGTGAGATGGTCAAAGCTTGGGAATTTTTTTTTTATAGCGTAACCCTGCTTTAAAACTTCTCCACTTTATCCCTGACCTGTCTGGTGTGTTCCTTGGCCTTCATGATGCTGTTTTATTCACTAATG